TATCGTTTGTTTATTCGCTATACTTATCGTTTTTTCGCTATATGTGAATAGATTTTGACCTTAACTCTTTTATAGATAATTGAATTTTAAATTATATGAAATTTCAGTAAAAATATTATGATTGGACATAAATAAGTCTTCCAAAAATTTCAAAAATTTTTTAGTTCACACATGACAAGCAAATACATATGTACACTATTTCTATAAATAAGTATGTGAGAATGTACATAAATTTGACGTAATTTTATTTTAATTGAGTTTTTTAATCTGTGTGATGATTAATTCACGTTATCACTAAAAGTATTACTCGTAGAAGTTGACGAATTATTTTGATTAAAGAACTGCTAAAGTCTTGTATATTCTCATAGCTTTTATTTTTGTATTTTGTATATAGGTATACGGGAAATTGTATGCAATTTATTAATTAAAAAATGTTAAGTTTTTGTTACTGATCCTTGTTATAGCTCAAAATTTAGGTAAATTTATGAAATTTGACTTTTTTTAGTTGAAATTTGAACATCTGAATCAGTAAGAATAATGGTGAAATAATGAACAAATTTAGAGTTCGGTTTATAGTATTATTGAATATACTTATTTAAAAAATTATATTTCCCTTAAAGAAGTTCTTTTGAAACTATTAAAATTATAGGGAAATATACAATATTTAAGCGATATGGATCAAACATGGGTAGTTAAATAACGTAGCTATATGGGTTTTGGCCGTTGTATAATTTAAATGATAATTGACTTATTTTGCAATTTATATTATTTTGGTCCTGAAAGTATAGTGTAGAAAATAGCCAACAATATCTTTATGCTTAATGGCTCAATGTGTATACCTTCATTGCCTAGTTCAAAAGAAGAAAAAATTAAAAAAAAAATATTCCTTTCAAAATATTGTTTATTTACTACTAGATTCGTTTCTTGGGGTTTCCTCTCTTTATTTATAATTCTTTAAAAGCAAAAACTTATAATTAAATTATCTAATCCATTTAATTTATCTTTTTCTAACATATTCATTTCCATTATTAACTTAACCGGAATAACAATAAATATTTAAAAATTATGGAATACTTAAAAATACTCAATTAAACTATTTCATTATTCATTAGGCAGCAAAACAAATTTTTCAAATTTATATACAAACTTTCACAAGTTTAGGCTTTTCATACTAATATCACAATAATCTGCTTCGTGATCGTTAAATATTTTCATAACTAAATGAAGATTTCTTCTGCCACAAAAACATTTGTCTTAAGCTATCAATTTATTTAATTGTTGCAAAATAATTGTAATAATTGTAAATTATTTTTTTTTTAAATAGTTATTTTAAAACGGTATTAATTTTAATATCTTTAACTCGAAACTAATTTTTCATTTTTTTTACGCTTTTTGGAACTTTTATCAAATGAAATAAAATTAAATTTCTAGAATGCACAAAACAAATTTAGATCTCTGAATGTTAAAATTGAATGCATTACTTTATTTTTCTCGAAGTCTTTTCAATCATAACAGGTACGAAGATAGCTCATATACCGAATTAAAGCTTAGCTAACAAAGTGATTATTAGCTAACAAAGTTATAATTAGAGAAAGCTGCGATATTACTTCACCTTGACGTATGTCTTGAAAATTAACGGTTTCTTTTTAAAACGAAAAAATATAATTTTAAATTTTTCGACCTTTAAAGTTATGTGATTCCGACATCTGAACAGAATAGTCATGAGAATGATATTTGAAAAAACTAAAAAAATAAGTTGAAAGTGACCAATCATTAAGGCCTATACAGTGATATATAACAGATATAAGGTAGCAAGGCCTACACTGTATAGTAGTTTCTGGAGCATGTAAAATTTTCGTTGCATATAGTGTAATTCATATTGTTATTTAAAATAAAGGGGAGCCAGTTGGTATTTTAACTCTATACACAGAATTTATTAATAAATTTTGGAATTTATCTTTTGAACACTTTCTTCTATATTGTTTAATTTTTAGATTCACTGCAAATTAAATTTGTGCATTAGAATCGAATTTTGTAATATATTTTTTTGTGTACTATTCATACCTGCGTATATATTCATGTTTGGTTACGGCTTGCTCCATACTACATACTAGTTCGATTTGTGATAATAATGTATCTACCTTATTTCATTAGCGGAAATTTCATTACATCTATAATTCACCCCCGTATCAAATCACATATGAACTAATTAAAATTTCAGTATTAATGTTGAAAATAATTTAAATATTAATTTGTTGAACATTTTATCTATTTTTTTTTTGAGCTCTCTGCTATTATAAAAAACAACAAACTTCTGCATAATTATTAATTAATAAATTATAAAAGTTTATTGTATTATACGCTTTTGTTTGGATTATTAACTTTATTTTAAATCATAAATTTTGTATCAGTTCGATATAATAATTTTCATAAAACAATAATTATTGTTTTATAAAATAATGTGTAATTTATTCAAGTATGTATAGAGTTATGAAATTGTAATAACGTTTTTTAAGGTAAAATTTTGAGAAACTTAATAAAGTAAACTCTAATATGTTCAATTGAGAATATTACATAAAGATATAACAGTAATTCTCATTTAGTATAATAAACATATCCATAGCCTTATATGTTCTGTATTTGATATTTTGAGCAAGAAATTTTGTGTTTTGAAATAGATTCGGTCCTGAATTCACAAGATTTGAACATTTTCTTGAATTTCAAATTCATTCGATACATTCTCTTCAAAAATTTGATATTCTTCAAAATTCAAATTATTAGAAAGAGAAAGCAGCAGCTTATATTCTATTGACTTTCTTTTCAAACAATAAGGTTTGAATCTTAGGTTTGAATGTGGGTACATTATATTCACTTAAATTAAAAATAGTTACCTTCTAATTAATTGATAACTCTTCCATATCTCATATATAACTTTTACACTTTATATTATTTTCAATTTAATTATTGCGTGCCTACTTTCTTAATTTTTTATTTATTTTTAAAGTTTTTTTTTTTATTAAAATTACTTCATACTTGTATTATCTTTAAAATAAAAAAGAAATTGCAATTTCCAATTCAAATTATGAAAAAAAAAAAAAATAACAACAAAATTAAAACTTTATAAGAAATTGTTTAACAAGTGTTCCATTTGAGTTATTTTTTTTTACTAAAGTTTGCAACTTATTGTTTATAATTTTGTGGTATAATCATAAGATATCTTCATTTATATATATATATATATATTTATATATGCCTAATATGTATTAAAATATATATTTTTTTAATATGCACTAATGCATTTGCATTGATTTACTTGTTGATCAATTATTTTGTATAATAAAACTGTTTTATTTTTTCTTATACTTTTTTCTTTAAAGATTAGTTAAATAATATACGATAATTCAGTCTTACGGTGCATTTTTGACAGGAAATACATAATATAACGCAAGTTCCGAGAAGAAAGCGAAGAAATAAAATCAAAAATAAAATTAAAAATTAATTAATAATAATTTTAAATATTGATTAAAGTCAATTTATTTAATTAATTTATTTAAAATTAAAAATTGTCAAATTAACAATTTAAAATTTATTTAAAAAAAATTTTTTCTAAATCCATGATTTGATTGGAAGCAAATTGAAATAAGAAATCAATGATCTGAACGCGATGGATATTAATGGTGAGAAAATGAACCGATAGTGAAAATATTTGCATTATTAATTTTTAAATGCCCTTTTACCTACAGTGAAGTGTTAAAGAACCATATTTTTAACAAAAATCAAAAACAGAGTAATTATTACATTTCCTAAATAATTTAAAAACTGTTTAACGTATATTTTTATTAACATATTAAATTTTTAGTGAGATATTGAATTTGATAATAATTTGATTATAAAAATGTACCCAAAATATAGATTTAATATAATCAATTTTAAGTAATTAATTTTTGGTGTAGTTAATTTGTTCTAGTATAAATAAAAAATAGATTTCTTAATGTAATTTATAATTTATATCTTTTTTAAATATTAATTCAATTGAGTGTTAATCCAATTTTGAAAGCAATTTGTAATTTTATTAAATATTTTTAATTCCGTTCGATAGTGTAATGCAAATCTATTGTCATCCTTTTATGCAATTTCTTTTTATTATTTCTATTCTCAATTGCTGCATACACTTTTTATATTTTTGACATAATTCTTCACAATTTTTATTCTGAAATTCAATTGTCATATTTGTTGCCTTATTTACTAAATAGTTTGTGCATAATAATCTAAAATAAAATGATAACAATTAAGTATTTAATTATATTTGTCTTACTGGTGATTTTACTAAAACAATAAATTGGTATAATTATTTTAAGCAAGGCTGACTTGCTGTTGGCGTCTAGATTACTTATATGTCAGAAAAAGGAATTTGTTTTATATATTTATGTATATTTGAACAATTCCAAAATTCCTGCCTTAATTTCTTCGAGAAGCCGTAATGCGGTTTTTTTTTCAAATAACTTAAAGAGCTCTCTTTAATTTAGTGCAATATGTGTGCAATTTGAATAATTTAAACGCTATATATACAATTTAAACACCCTTAATCAAAAAGTATACCTATTGCTATATAAGTAGATCCCATAAATATGCAATTTCTTTTAAATTTTATTATGAAATAAATTATGTTAGCATAATAAATCTTTTTGTTAATTTATTTAAGTATATAAAAACTTAAAGAATGAAAAAAATTTAGTAAACATTGTAATTGAAACAAATTTTTTGATAGACTTAGATACTGTGCGTAAAAGTAGCTTACGAACAACTTTGTTGCTGAAACTTTTTATTGAAACATTGTTCGTATACATTTTATCAAAAAACATTATTAACGTACATATATCTAATAAATGGGCTTAAAAAATTTTTCATTTTTTTACTTATATAAAATCTTATATGTATTTATTTATTGATTTTTTTTTCAAATAATTTTTCTTTTACTTTTTTTTACAGTTGAAATCTCAAATCTTCACAACAAAAAATTCTTTTAAACATGTGTGTATATCGCCATCAGGGACATTTATTTAATACATAATATAGAAAAATAACCACTACAAGCATAATGTAAATGAACAAAATAAAAAGAAAAACTAAAATAAATAAGCGAATATAGTGTAAAAGAAGAGAGAAAAAAAATAAGCCGTTATATTATATTAAACCGTTGCTTTTCTATAACGTTTTATAATATTTTTACATTTCCTTTTTGTTCTACATTCATGACAAGAAATATATGATCAAGTGGGCCACATGTATAATGGACACATAAGAAATAATAGCCAGTACATCATAAGGCGTTGAACTAATCAAAACTATATAGAAAAGCATACAAACGGCAAGAAAACAAGAAAAAAGCGCGCAATGTTAATTTAAGAAGCAATTTTGATGTCTTCTATATTAATAAGGAGAAAAAAATATCCCCATAAAAAAAAGTACTTACAAAAACAAAAATTAAAAAAATTCAATGCAGAAATAGAAGAAAATTATAAAAGTGTACACGGCTCTATTCTCATTTATGTGTAAAAGAGAAAATTTCTTTAACTAAATGACCTGTGGTATTGCAATTAATGTTGCTGTTTTCGTTTCACCAATTATTATTTAAATAAACTACTGTTGTAAACACAATTATCAATGCACTACAATTATTATTATCGTTACATTCAATGATTAAATGAAAACAAAAAAAAAAAAAGAAATATGTTTGAATAAAAAAGTAAACAGTACTGCTGCATTCTATAACGTTTCACAGACACATGTGCAACTTATGTATTCATTAACATCTACGTCCAATGTAAAGGTGCACACATCTAGACTTCTTTGTACGTCGTATAACACATAAAATGGTAATGTAACAGTTATAAGTTATAAACGATTTTCATTTTTAAAATAAGAAAATGTTTTTTCTGTAATAATTTAAATTTTCTTCATGCAGCACTAGTTTCTATAAAATAAAAAAAAAAAAAATAGAACGAAAAAAAAACAACATTTAGGATACAAAGTATACTTTGTAATATCGTCAATTTTAAATTGTAGTACACTTTGTAGCATCATCAAACAGACAAATGTTACAAAAATATTTATGCAAATTTCTACATATGGCAAACCTTTCTTTAAATATAATAACTCGATGTATAAAATTATTGTGGCTAGATGTAGCCGGTTAAAAATAAAAACTATAGAGGATTTAATAGCCGGCAGGTAAGAAAAGTGACATCTATCCTTTTTTAAATAAAGTGTTTTTGTTATATTAACTGTGAATTATTGTATTTTAATAAATTATTTACTCCTGAAATACTCTAATTATAATGTGTTTTTTAGGTGTTTTAAATTTAAACACAAATTGTTTCATCATCGAAAATCATCTTAGCACAGAAAGGCATACAGAAATTTTTAAAACAACATACTTTTTAAGGATTTAAGAAGAAAAAAAATAATAAAAAATAAACAACAAAATTTTCCAAATACCCTAACATATCATGAAAAAATCACCTCTTCCATCAACGATTTCATTAAAACATTACGGCGATTATCAAAATATGTCACCATCATCAGCAACCAGAACCAGAAATGCTGCCAATAATAATATAAATAATAACATCAATAATAACCAATACTTTGACAATCAAAATGTAAGTTTATTTGGTGATCCAGTTCAATACCCACCACAGGAAGAATTTCTTGAAAATTTAGATCGAAATTTATATCGAGGTTTTCGTTCTAATTCAAATGCAGCCAGTTTACTTGAAGATTTTCCGAAATCTAATATTTATGGTGAAATGAAACATGATGAAGAAACAGGGATTCGTGCAATTTCGGGAAATATTAGAGGTAAAACATTCGATCCGGGTGTTATTCATCAAACTAATCCTGGTAGTTTATTTCGAAATACTGGTCCTGATATACAAATTTTACCAGAAAGTGATTCTAGTTCTGACAATAGAACAAGCCCTCGTTATACTAATTTAGAGAATTATGAACAAAGACTGTCAAGTAATCCTAGTGATATTGTTGATTTTGTAGATTCAAGTTATTTAGATGTAAATAGAAATACCGATGATAAAGCAAGAAGACTGTCTGAATTTTCAGAAGATTTTCATGATAGTTTTGAAAACTTTAAGTATATGCTTTAATTATAATTTTTTTTTTATTTTTAAACAATGTAAAATTTTTGGTTGTCTTTTTAGAGATACTAGAGAAATGATAGTTGAACCACCAAGAATATTTTCAGCTGATCAAATTTCGGTTAATAAGAATTTACGACAATATTCTAATGAATCCTTATCTAGCAACGATTGGTTTAAACCGGATTACCAAGAATTTACAAAAATTCCAAAATTAAGACCGAGTTCGAAGAATGTAATTTCAATTAATCGACAACAAATTCGTCATGAATCACCTGTCGCCACATTATTTAATGATTCTGGAGGATCCTGTAGTGATGGTGAAAAACCTGTCGATGTACGATCTAGTTACATAGAGCCATTGCCAAATATACGAATTCAACCGGAGTACACACCAACTCAGATACCAGTTCCGACACCAACGCCAAACAAAATAACAACAGATGTGCCACTGGAGTCCTCAAAATATGATATTTCTAAACCCGCTTTACCTGATTCTTTACATAAGCCTCTAAATATCACCGAGCCTATTCCGAAAGGGCTCCCACCGACAGGTATAACCTCTCTTGGTAAAAGGGAAATTTCTCCTGTGATAATGACCAACGCAATTTGTACTGGTGCTGATTTTAGGTAGGTTTTTTTTTCATTTTATTTTAATGACTGTTTTTTACAAAAGTTTTAAAATTTAATTTTAGGATTAATGCTCCCCGATCACACAAGAAGCCATCATTCACCATTATTAAAGACAAACCAGAGCCCGCTTCAAAAATTCCGAGTCCAAAGCGTCATACTTCTCAGAAAATAACAACAAAGGATGATAGAGCAGCTTTATCTGCACGTATTTATAAAGAAAATAATCGCCGATCTAGCACAGTTGGCCAAAATTTATCACAACGATCTATGTCATCCCATCAACTAAGACTGCCTCAAATAACTGGCGTCTATAATCAACAACAAGTAGTAGAGTCACCAAGGCCATCTGTGCAATTCAACATGTCTTCCGGTATAAATTTTTCGAAATCATTTCATCCGTTCAACGGAGCACCCAAAGGTATATTGCAACAAAAACAGCCTGGAATGCCCTTTTCAGGAATGCCATCTACTGCAACTCAAAACAACCGAGTAAGAAGTTTTGAAGCACTCCCAACGAAGTTACCTCCACTACCTAATTTTATACCAAGAACCCCTTCGAAGCGCTTTAACAAAACAGAGGATAATTTCTATGAAAATCGTAGCATAAGTGCCGCTGGTTATAATCGCCCATTCTATGCCATTCAAAATCCAACAAGTAGAGAACGAGGCTTATTGCGGATAATAAACAGTGCGGGGAATTCTCCATCTCGAATTCCTAAGGTAAATTCGAATTGGGTTCCTAGAAGCATGATTAATTTATCTGAGAGACGTGGCAAGTCCATATCTCCACAAAGAAGAGCTTCTATATCCCCACCAAATAAAAAGACAAAAAGAAGAGGCAGATCTGTATCTCCAACATTCTTTGATCGAAGGAGCTCTAGTCAGACGGAACCTCGAAGTTCTATAAGTTCAGACCGAAGAAGTTCAAATTTAACTTCGGTAACTACTTCAGATTTCAGTTATAGACGAAATCCTACATCACCCATGAGAAATTTTACAGCTAAGCGAACGTCTTCATATGGAACAATAAATAATAAAATGGGTCGTAGAAAATCAATTTTTCAAAGTCAACCAAATCTACTGAGACCTCGCTCAGATTCAATTGTTAACCGAACAAATAGAATGTCGAAGTCCCAGAGGAAGGTGGCCAAACCCACATCTTTATCACCCATTATTGGTACTCCTAATAAGGATGATCCATTGAGTCCGGAAGAAATAGAGAGTTCAGAGAGATTCATTGCAAGTGGTTTAAATTTTCGAGACACAAAGATGGATCCTTTAACAAGAATACCAATTCGTAACGGATCCGATGTAATAACCAGGTCTGAATCTAGAATTCACATGCGGGCCCAATCGCAACCCGGCTCTAGATCAAATTCTAGAGGTCCTTCATTATCAAACTCTAGATCGGGTTCGCCAATGAAGGAGTTCGCTCCTACATCCAGACCTAATTCTAGAGCTGCTTCATTGTCACCATCAAAACATACTTCAAAATCTAATTCTAGGGGCGGTTCACAACCTTCTTCAAAACCTCAGTCACGAAGCAATTCCCGACCAACTTCTAGACAACCATCCAGAGCAACTTCGAGAACTGGATCAAGGGCTAGTAGTACTCATAAAGAAACTTCCATACCGAGCAACCGCTCTAGATCGAATTCCAGAATAAGTTTAAGTCCTCCTAAAAATCGTAAAAGTAGCCCACCAAAACAAAATTCAAGCAAAAAAAACGCAAATTCAAAAACTAAAAGTCGAAGTCCTAGTCCACAAAAGACCAGACGGAAATCTATTAGTCCACCTAAACCGACAACTAGAAGTAGAAGTCGAGGTCGAACAAAATCTCCTGACAAGCGAAGTCAAAGTACGAAATCGAAAACTACAACATCAACAAGTAGATCCAGATCTCCCAAAAAATCCGTACGCCGAGAATCGCCAAAAAGGTCAAGTATTCGCAAAAATGATAATAAAAGTGCCAAAAATTCAGTGAATAGTAAAAATTCTGATATTAGTTCAAAAAGAGGATCCTCAATCAAAAGAAAAGAGGGTGAGCCAACACTAAAGCGTGAAGCCAGTAGCTTAAAGCGTGGAACTTCCAATTTAAAACGAGAAACATCTAACATTAAGAAAGAAACAACAACAAGTATAAAAAGAGAAACATCTAATTTGAAAAGAGAAACCTCAAATTTAAAACGGGAACCTTCACGAATGAGTTTAAAAAAAGGGCCGCCAAGTAATACCCAAAAGGATTTAATGAAGAAAAATCCACCAAGCAATATTAAAAAAGAACCATCAAATCCAAAAATTGAAGCAACTTCTGGGAAAATGAAAAGGGAGCCTTCAAATCTTCTTAAAAAACGTACTGATAGTAATTTAAGTAGCAAGTTAGAAAAAAACACCAGTTCTAAAAATGAAAAAACAGAAATAACTAAGGTAGATACAGTAAATAGTTCAGATAGTACGAAATCTAATGATGGAACGACTATGGATACTGATGGTAAGCTGATCCCACTGACAAAAGCAAATGTTGTTTCAATGACTACTGCAGCTATTGCAGCTCAGCCGGTACAAATTACAACTGCCGTGACAAATCACGCTCTTTTAAACAAAATAAATAGCAGTGGTCAACTTGTGAGCTCAGAAACAAAAATTGATGATGTTCCTCTGGCAATTTTAGAAAAGTCAACAAAAACCCTGGAAAATATACAAAAAACTGTTGCTGAAGCAACAGATGAAATTCAAAAAACAATCCATGAAAACCTGACAGATCTTAAAAGCTTGGAAAATGATATGAGTAAGGTCGGAGTAACAGATGCAAAATTCGCAACGTCATCTGGAACAGAGGCTCCTTTTGATAAATCTGATAGTCTGAAAACTGTGATAGAAAATCCAACATTATCAAAAAATGGAAATGCAACCAATAGTCACAGTAACGTGTCTCCTGCACCGCCTACACAACCAATTGAACCGAATGTATCCGTTATCGTTAAGGGAAAATCTGCAGAAAATACATTACATCCGAGTAAAGCTGGTGATGTGAACGGAGGATCAAATGGTCACCAAAGTGGAAGTGGAAAGCACAAGGATGATGAAAGGGTTAGTGTTCGTGCAATTTCAGTGTTACCAGATGTAGAATGTGAAAGTGCCAATTTGCAGAATTCTTCTGACATTCAACAGGTACTAGACGAATCAGGAACAATTCAAACATTGGAGGAAGGAAGTCAAGGTTTAACAAACAAGGGGAAAAAAGGTGCGAAAAGTTCAGATATGAGTGCTATTCACACTGAGAGAAGTGGCGGCGGAGGAAATGGTGAATCTGACAAAAATGAAAAAGATAACAATAACAAGGGGTAAGTAAAAATATGAAAGTTTTATAATTATGTTGTAGTATTAAGACTAAAGAATAGTAAAAGTTTATTTGATTATTTAATGATTTCGCGAGATTTTTATCGCTTCATTATATGGGAAATTGAATGAACATTAACGTCCAACTTTTCAACGTTTTATAGTAAAGTAAAACATTTTGAATTACCAAAATGAAAATAGACAGCTAATGAATTATTTTTACATTATTACAAAAATTTTTTAGTCGATATAAAATCTCGATATTTTTATTTGGTTCATAAAAGTTTTCCTTCTCAATCCTAATCCAAAAAATTTTTACATGCACTGTAGTGTTCGTTATAAGTGTATTCAATATACATAAAATGAATGTTAATAACAAGTAAAAATATTTTTCAAAGTTATCCACAATTTTAACTTTTCACTTTATTTTTTCTTTTGTTTTTATATGTTCCACAACATTTACATGAATATGAAAAATTCCAACCTTCTTCTTCTCCTCCAAAATACCGAAAGGTATTCATTCATTCATTCATTTTGATGAAGGTCTCATACCTCCAATTTTGCAATAGTTTTTTTTTTGTTAAGCGATAAAAGTTTTTGTTATTGTGGTAAATACAAACAATTTGTAGTCCCTATACCATTTTCATTTTGCAATACTTTAACACAATATATATGAATAATATATTTATACTTGTAATGGCAGGGAAGTATTAAATTCACTAAAACTTTAACTTTTTTTTAATATTGACCATACAATCCAAACCATCATACAAAATATTTTATAGTTATTGTATAAGTAAGTAAAAAAGGCAAAAATTTATGACTGCGAAACTTCCTATCACGGCATAATAACAATAGAAAAATATTTCTTTACATTAACTTATTCAACAATAAACATACTTATATATTTGACCCACTCGCTTTATGTAAGATTACGATAATGTGGACTTAGAAAAATTTTTAATATTTGATTTCTGTTAAAGGGTAGTTTTATGTTTCTCCCTTTTCCATAATCCCCCAGAAATATGTTATTCATAAAATTGTTACGTATCTACAATTTTCTATACATTTGGACTAATTTTTAAATTTTATAAAAAATTGTAAAATTTTCTTTTAGTGAACAGATTATATTAATTCTAAATAAGGGGTGATACGAGTCAATTATTTTCCTGTCATTATTATTTATTTCAATTACTGAAAGTGGGAGGTAGTAAGTGCAATTGAATGGATGAAAATTTACTAAGTAAATTTAGTAATTTATTGGATAAGTGCTATTAGTGCAGTTTAAGTACTTTGTATTTATACGCATATTTGGTACGACATTGAAAATTAATTAATTTATAACACAATCTGTTATATTTCTTTATTCGCTTAATAGGTCTATGGGGGTCAACCTAATTAAATTTATAATTTATTCAAATATTTCAGTTTATTATAATAACATCAATAAAATGAACATTTGAAAAGACGGATAACAGAAATTCCAGGCTATATTTGAAATAAAGCTACTCTTTGGAGTAGCTTATAAAATAATTTATATAAAATGTCCTTGCAAAAGAATTGTCATTGAGAAAAACTTTTAAATAAGTAGATAATATATTTACTTATATCTACTTATATAAAAGTTTTTCTCTTGTATATACGGTTCCATTGCCAATAATTAGTTTAATAAGAAGACTAAAAACATTTAAAAGCAAAGTAAGAAGAAAGAACACAATTGAAATTCTTGTATATTAGAGTCTTTGTGTTTCGATTTATAATATTTCGAGAAATGAAACCTGTTATATCGAATCTTAAAAATGCTATAAAATTCTTCATGTCCACTAAATTATTCAAAGAAACAAAAAGTAAAATAATAAACCGTAGACGTTGAGCTATATATATATATATATATATAGCTATATAGACATTGAGCCGTACATATACATACATTTTTTACTTTTTTACAATAATTTACAATTTGATTGACTCAAACCATAAAGGAAAACAGTTATTTGCATGCAAACTTTTACTACTCATGTACATACGAAAACGTCCTCTTTATATTATAGAGTGGTTAAACCTCCTATTCGCATTCCATCAAATAATTTTCAATTTTATTGAATTAATTTTTCTTTTATCGTACCGTTATTTTTTTTCGTGTTCTCTTGCCTTCTCATACTTTCTTTCGATATACAATTTAATTTTGTACAACAAAAATAAAATGATTTTTCATATAAATTTTCGATTCTTCTTTATTATTTTATGCCAGTTATTACTGGACATTGTTAACGGTAACATTAAAAAAAATTTTATAAGCGGTAAAAATTTTAAATAATATTTTGATTTTTATTATAAGGAATTAGAAATAGACAAAATATAATATTAAAGGAGATAACAAAAGTTATCGGGAATCGAGAATTTTTGAAAATATTTTTTTAAAATTCATTCTTAAATTCGATATTTGTACGAAAATTAAAACATCTTGAAGTAAATCAAGAAAAAAATCATTTTTTTTTTGTGAATGTGGTGTTTTATTTCGTTATTAAGGAAATTTATTAATCGGAAAATAAAAAATAAAATTAAAGAAGGGAACTATAAGGAGAATTTAAAAATCATGATACAAAAAAGTGGAAATTTAAAAAAAGATCGAAAAAATTCAGTTGTTTTTAATATCGATTTACCAAATGATTTTGGAAATTCAGACAAATTCTTTTACAGGTAAATTAATTTTTTTCTGAAATATTATATGAAATTAAAATAAATTAATTGAAAATATTTAGCTATAAATGACCGCCGTATAAATGACCGCCGTGCATTCCATTTTTTATGTTTCACAACACTTTTAAAATTGAAAAATCAAAAAATAATGCAAACGTAAATTAAAAGTGTTTGATTTACCGAAAAAAAATTTGTCAAGGACCTCCATTTATATTAATGCGTAATTTGTTTAAGTACAATATTTTAGTAAATTAGTACTTAGTAACAAGAATAGTAATCACGGTAAATGCACTTCAGTATAATTTAAGGAAATATTTAACCCTTTTAATTTTCATAATATTTTGTTTTGAATGATTGTTAATTGCATTTTGGGTGTAATAAAATATGAAGAATGGTCAAAATAACTTTGATTATAATTTATTGTAAAAAAGCTTTTTAAATTTGATTTTAAATTTTCACTTGTACTAACAACATTATTTAAATTTTTAGAAATAGTGAAATGAATGTGAGCGCCAAATGACTTTCATTTTAAAAAGAAAAGTCACATATCAATAATCTATAAATCTGAATAATAAGGCTTATAAAATTTGGTTTTTTTTTTGATTTTAGACAATTTGACAAAATTTTTAAAATTTTGACTTTGTTCTAGTTATTTTTTTAATGTTTTGACTTCAAGTCTTTGTCTGATAGGCATATTATTCCTGAAATTTCAAAAATGTAAATATTAGAATGTTTTTAAAAATTCCAACTTTGAGACCTTGTAACTCGAAAAGGAGGCCCCAACAAGCAAAAAGTTCCACTAGAAGCATTCTATCACTTTGCTCCGGGTGTTGTATTGGATACTCTGTTTATTACAAAATAAAACATATGAGAAAAATTGAATATTGTAATATTTGAACACAGTTTCACTACACCTCTCCAAGGGTTAATAAATATGGCGAGAAACTGTTAAATTATTATAAATAATCGTTACTATAAAACTATTTTAAGTTAATGACCTAAACTTGAAATTAAAATGAAAATAATTTACATAAGTGTAATTAAAAGAAAAATTAGGTATTGTAGTGTGCCTAAAATTAATTATTTAGTTTAATAAATTATTTTTATTACATGATTTTTAACTCACGCGTAATAGTTTCCCATTTTATTATGACTGAATATGTATAATTGAAATTTATTAAAAAATTCTTGCACTGTGCAAGAATTGTTTTGTAATACTTCTTCTTAGTGGGTGATATACCAAATTGTAAATTATTTATTAGCTTTCATTATAAATTTTTTAATATACAAATTTCAGTTACCAACAATATTTTTAATATTAAATAGTCATATATTCAAAAATAATTGACCTTGTATAAAATATTTGTAATTTTCTTGTTCTTTTATTGTCCATCATAAAATTCATATATACATACATTATATTATTTTTCTCCCAAAAATTCTATTAAAAAAATTATTATTTCACATTTGCTTTCTAATTTCTGTGCTTTTATAAGTATTTTTTTTCTCTATGGTAAATATGTATAACATATTCTATACCATATTTATGTTTCCGTTTCCCAAAAAATTCTATGTACCATAATGTACAAAAAAAAAAACAAAACAAGAAAAAAATCGCGTGTAAATTATTCGCAATTAGTTTTAATATTTTGTTTTTTTCATACTGATTATTTGCTAATAAAGAAATATTTTTAACCATTAAAATACTAGCTAAATCGATAATACTGAACTTAAATAATTTTCACAATTCTAAGGTTAAATTTATGTGGTTAATTTAAACTATATGAGTTCAAAGAAGAAATGTGCTTAAAATAAAATTTTTTGTACTTGCCAATTTTAATCGAAGATCTTTCATTATTGCGTCATTTGAAAAATTAAATGAGAAAACTGTATATACGTTATATATGTAATTAAATTTGGTATATGAGGTTTTTGGGGTTTTCCATAATCTTGTGCGTTATAAAATTCTTGAATTTAGAAATTATAAAAGTAGAATTGAAGAATTGAAAAATTTGATATAAAATATTTCTTCTCAGCTTAACTCTTCGTTTTATTTCTTATATTTTTCCGAACATTTCCGAAAAAAAAATCCTATGAGTTAATAATTAAAATAGTATAAAATTTTTTCTAATTTTATCAAATTCTTATCTGAAATTCCAGGTTTCATCTCCTTTTCTTCTTCTTTAATTAAACTAATTTATTCAATAACATTTTATAAGTAGAAATCTTTCATTCCCCTTTCAGTCTACTTTAAATATTCTAAGTAAATAAAAAATAATCTTAAAATTACTTAATTTTTTTTTGT